AGTTGTAGCATCAATTAAAAGCTCTTTTCTGAGTAATTCTATAATTCTGACAACCATGCCTGAGTTGAACTCCAACTTTCTGGTGCAAAATCAATATATATACGCACCAGTGATAAAATCTATTTTGAAAATTGAAATTTCAGTGAAAAGAAATGAGAAATAGGGAAAATTTATTTTTTATAACATATCAACAGCAATTTTCAATCATGATAATGGGCTGATTCAGCTTCAATATGAGATTAAAGATTTTAATTCATTCAAATTGAAAACATTACTAATTTAGTTGAATAATGAGAAATAAAGAGAAAACAGAAAAAATTCTTCAGTTTTAATTATAACTGATTTATTTGAAGAATTCAAAATTTTATTTGTGACACTTGCTAGTATGAGAATGAGCACATATGAGTTTAAAGATATCAGAGAAAATTTAAAAACTCACATTCAATGTTCAAATTGTCAAAAATATGATCATTTTGCAAATCTCTGTACAAAAAATGTAAAATGTCAAATTTGTGCTTAATCTTACAAAACTGCTGAACACAATTGTCAATTTTGTGTAAAAAAAGAAGTTATATGTGAGCACTTTAAGTCTATTGCAAAAGGTGTCAATTGCAAAGAGCCTCATTTTGCAAATTCAAAAGAATGTGTATCTGCTTCTAAATTAAAATGATCAGTAAAATCAATAATACAATCTGATATTGCTGTCTCTACTAATATGAAAAATAGTAGCAGTTAAAAAAGAAGAAATTCTCAAATCTCTAATTCTGTTGTATCTGAATCTTCTGACAAAGAAAAAATGAAAGTACAAAAGTCATCAAAAACCCCTGTTCAAACACAAATGAAAGATACATATATGGAAGATGTGATAGCTATTGATGGTGTGAATAATAGATTTAATCTATTATTTGACTCTGAATAAAGATAAAAAACCATTTAACAGTTTTATATAATGTAGAAAAAATATAAAAAAAATGTTAAAAGCTGTATAACAATCAAATTTAATCAAAATAATATGGACCGAATAAATTCATGTCTTTATTTCCGTTTATAAATTGACTATGAGCAAAAAGCAAACTTTATTCTTGTTCAAGAACTCAGACTTGATGCTGATCAAGAGTATAATATATCTCATTCAGCATACTATTGTTTTCTATGAGAGAAAACAGATATTAAAGTTAGAGTAGCAATTTATGCTAGAATAAATTCAAGATTTCAATTCAATCTGAGATATGATTTAATATCAGAATCTGATATTCTTGTTAATAATATTGTGGATATGAAAAAAACAGTTTGAAAACATTCAATTAATCAATATCTATAATGAAAGATCACTGAGAGACAAGAATAGAACTTGAACATTTGATAGATGTTTAATGCAGTTGAAACTAAAAAAGAATTCAATAATCATAGGGGATTTCAATGCTCATCACTCTTGGTGGAATTCAGAAAGAACTCAATCAATTAGATCTGAAAAACTAATTGAATGAGCACTTTTAAACAAACTAGAGGGAGATTTACAATGTTAATCAAAAAACACATAAAATGATTTCTATACACACAAAATAATTTTACTTAATCAAAGTTTGACGGGATTTGGAAATATTGAAATTTTAAAAGGAAAAAGGTCTTTACTTTTATATAAATACACTGAAAACGATAGCGAACGATAGCCCTGATCGCAGGGAATCTCACGACACCCAGCAATCCCCAGTTGAGGTGGTGCTGGTGCCATGGTTGTGATGGAGGAAATCGTGGGACGCGCTGACGGACGCCCGCGAGAAGAAAACTCTGACAAGAGGCAGCAGCCCACCACATGTGGAGCAATATTGACACAGTTGAGCAATGTTCTTTGCAATGGGAGCGAAGATCCTGCCATCAACGGCAAAGGGAAGGAGGTAGTGGAGGAGGCAGCCAGGTTGGTGAGGGAGTTGAAGGTCAAACTGGGGGAGGTGATGCTGGCCAAGGTGGAAGACGCGACCGTGGCGACACGCGCACAACGCCAACCCGAAGGAGTGAAAGAAGCCAAACTGTCATCATGGGCCAAGGTCGCAGGACAGGGAATTCCAGAAAAACCAGTGCCTAACCGAACCCTCCGCGAGATTACTGTCCTACGCCGGGACTGCGAAGCCCTCCCAGCTGAGGAGGCCACCCCCCCAGCGATTGTGGCAGCCGTCAACGCCAGAATTGTGGATGTGACAAAGGGAAAGGTGCTTGCAGCAAGATGTCTCCCCAATGGAGACATCATCCTGACAACCGACGCGAGGGAGACCAGGGAGGCCTTGACTAAGAGCAGCACATGGCTGGAAGTCTTGGGACAAAAGGCGAAGGCAAAGCACACCCTGTACCCAGTCATGGTTAAGGGAGTCCCAATGGGCAACACCAACTGGAAGGAGGAACAGCAAGCCATCAAGGCAATTTACGCACAGAATGAAGGACTCCGAAGAGGGGTACAAATTGAGAGACTGTCTCTACGACGGAATGCCAGCTTGCAGGCAAAGGTTGGGTCTCTTGTACTCAGCGTCACCTCGCCTCAGCAAGCCAACCTACTAGTAGACAACAAATGGATTGATAATAGACAGCATATTTTGTGACGTTGAAATCTTCCACCGGGAAGCGCAGGTCACCCGGTGCTTTAACTGCCATGAGTATGGGCATACGGCCAGATTCTGCAGGCAGGCCAAAAGGTGCGGGTTCTGCGCGGCAAAAGAACATGACGACAAGGAATGCCCAGCACGAAAAGCTGGGGAACAACCGAGGTGCGCAAATTGTAGGGGAACACACCCAGCCTGGGTCTCTAAGTGCCCTGAGAGGGAGAGGGCATCAAGCAGGGCCCGTACAGCATACATGGAAAGACCCCGTAGGTTTATGGAGCCAAAAGCACAAGATGGGTGGCAGGTGGTGCAAACCAGAGGAAATAAAAGGTTACCCACTGGGGAACCAGAGGGCCAAAGAAGAGGACCAGGCCGACCCAAGGGGATTCTGCAAGCAGGCGAAGCCCAGAGAGGAGCTCTAAGTGCCTTTATAGCACCACAGAGCTCACAACCTGGGTCTCAGCTACAGGAGGACCTAATGGACTACACGCAGACCCCAGCCCCCACGCAACAATGAGGGACACACTAAACCTCCTACAATATAACGTGCACAACTCTGCGAGAGTTATGGGTGCGTTATTGGCAGACCCTGCAACAGAAGACAAATACGACGTAATTGCAGTACAAGAGCCCAGCCGGAATCCCCACATGCTAGCAACACACTGCCCCAGAAGCTGCGGCTTCTGGCCAGCATATCACCCGGAAACACACCCAAGAGTATGCTTTCTGGTCAACAAAAGGCTCGTGGAACACACATGGGAGTGCCACTACCACTCAGAATACATTGCAGTGCTGACAATCACCGCCGACCTGGGTAAGGTGCAAATAGTCAATGTGTATGCACCTCCTCCAGGGGGCTACAGCAGTGAACCGGAGGAGTCCCCCATAGGCCAGCTGCAGGAGGTAGCCGGAATGGGCACAGATGCAGAGCTGGTCATATTAGGAGATCTTAATGTCCACCATGAGAGGTGGGGAGGGGTGAGAGTGGAGAGAAACTTCCGCATGGCATGGCAGCTAATAGCACAGGTGGATAGGCTGGGTCTCCAGCTTGCCACACCTGGCGGGGCTACCACATGGCAGGACAGAGGCAGCCCAGGGACGACTATAGACCTCACCTTTCTATCACCACTCCTGCACGACAAGCTCAGGAGGTGTGCAATAGCGGAGGAGGCATGCAAAGGATCTGACCATAAGCCCATGGAAACAACACTGGAACTCACACCCATCCCAAAGGAGGCTGAGAGACGAAACTGGAAGGATGCGGAGCCTGAGGAGGTAGCAAGGGACTGCCAAAAGCTATATGTGCCACAAAGCCTGGACTCCAGGCAAGCAGTCAAGGAGTATGCAGACTACCTGGTAGGATTTGTAGGGACATTAGCGGACAAACACGCCACCGTAAGTAAGGCTGGGTTAAAATCCAAGACATGGTGGTCACCGAGGGTGGCCAAGGCAGTGGAGGAGTACAAGCAGGCTAGGAGGTCCCAGCTCCCAGAAATGGAGCGGCTCAGGGCACGCTGCAAGCGCAACAGAGAAATCCACTTGGCTAAGACAGCAAACTTCAGAGATCTGGTTGACAGGACCCGTGATGACCCCAGATTGATGTGGGGACTAGCAAAATGGGGCAAGGAAAGAAGCCATCTGCCCCCACAGGCACCTACTGCCCCCCCCTGAGAACAGGGGAAGGGGCTGACGCGACGGTAGAAACCTCTTTTGAGGGGAAGGCTGAGGCATTACGACAACGGTTCTTCCCACAGCCAGAGCCCGCCGACTTAAGTGACACCAATATGGAGCTGCTGCAAGCTGAAAGGGAAGCGTCAAATGACACCATCAGTGTGGAGGACATGGAAAGCCTGATCCAGAGACTGCCAAACAGGAAGGCACCAGGGAGGAGTGGGATCACCAACGAGTTCCTTAAGATGCTGGGCAAAACATTTGTGGAGGCCATAACAGCTCTCACCAATGCATGCTGGCATTGGGAGACTTACCCAGACACGTTTAAGGAAGCCAAGACAGTGGCCTTGCGCAAGCCAGGGAAGGCTGACTACCAGACTGCAGGAGCGTGGAGACCCATTGCCTTGCTGGACACAATAGGGAAGATTGTGGAGGCAGCAACTGCAAAACGCCTGCGGAAGATCGCGGAGGACCACAACCTGCTACCCTCACAGCAAATGGGGGCAAGAAGGGGCAGGTCCACTGAAACAGCCATAGCACAACTTCTAGCCCAGATAAGGACAGTGTGGCAGCACCCAGGACAGGTGGCATCGGTACTCTCCCTAGACATGACAGGGGCCTATGACAAGGTGCTGCGGGAGCGAATGGTTCACATCCTCCGGCGACTGGGCATCCCCAGGGACCTGGTGGGATGGGTTGCGTCCTTCATGACCAACAGGAAATCCACAATTGCCTTTGAGGGCCAGGAATCAGACACCTTTGACATCCCAGCAGGCATCCCGCAGGGGTCACCCCTATCACCTATACTATTCCTATTCTACAATGAGGAACTGGTGCGCATCTGCTCAAGACCGGGGCGCCCGGTGGTGTGCATAGCCTTTGTAGACGATGTCAACGTGATGGCCTATGGCCAGTCCACTGAGGACAACTGCAGGGAGCTCCTGCGCATGCATCGGGCATGCGAGGAGTGGGCAGCACGGCACGGAGCGGTCTTTGCCCCCCAGAAGTATGAGCTAATGCACTTCACACGGGCGCGCAACCAATTCAACCTACAGGCTGAGCTGAGACTGCCAGGACAAACTATACAACCGAAACAGGTGATGAGGGTATTGGGTGTATGGTTAGACTCTAGGCTGAGATGGAAGGGCCACCTGGACGCGGTGGCAGGCAAGATGAAGACTCAAGTCAGAGCACTGTCCCAAACCACCCAATCCACATGGGGGCTCCCACTACGACAAGCGAGAATGGTGTATAACATGGTCATCAGGCCGGCCCTGACCTATGGAGCAATAGCATGGCACCAGCCACAGGGGCAGGGGGGCACGGGTCCAGCTAAGTCAGGACTGGCCCTCAAGCTGACCACAGTGCAGAACTCCTGCCTCAGAATAGTGGCAGGGGCATACAAAAGAACCCCAACAAGCACACTGGAAGCGGAAACCCACACAGTACCCTTAGACATCCACCTGGATGGGCTAGTGGCAAAGGCGGTCAACAGGATGAAGGCCTCAGGAATGGCGCAACAAATTGAGAATGCGTGTGCGGCCATAAGGACCAGGCTTCGGCACCGGGGGGTGACAAGGGGGGCACAGAGACACATGGGAGCTGTGGTTCACCCGGCAGCCCTGCCAGTGGACTGGGAACAGCAATGGATTCAGGGTGCTAAGGAGAGAGCCACAGCAGAGATGACACCGGAACAACGAGCCAACCTGGACCAAGCCTCATATAATCACTGGCTGAAGCGCGAGCAGCTCTGGAGGTGGGTGCAGAGGTGGAAAAGACGTGAGCCCCCCTGGGGGGAGCGGCATGGCCGGCCCCCAGACAAGAAAATTCTGAAGTGGCACACCGGCCTGCGCAAGGCTCGCAGCACTATCATCATCCAATTGAGGTCAGGGAAAACCGGACTGGCAGCTTTCCTAAACCGGTGTAAGGTACCTGAATTCCCCACCCCACGGTGCCCCTGTGGGTATGAATGGGAAACAGTCGAACATGTTCTGATACACTGCGAACGCTGGGAGCAGCAGCGTCAGGGCCTTATAAGAAATGGCAGGCTAAACAAGAGGATGCTGCTAGACACCAAGGAAGGCCTGCATCTCCTGTCAAACTGGTGGATGGAGAGCGGGATTCTAGGCCAGTTCACATTAGCACGCGAGCTGACACACTATGTACCATAACGCCCTGAGCTGCCTTGGACCCCCAGAATCCCCTGAATCCCACATGCACTCACTCCCCTGACTACTTAGCCCCTCCCTCTCCTCCCTCTCCTCCCCATCCCCTCGCCTCTCTCCACCTCATTTGCACCACCTCATTTTCATCCCCTCATCATCTCCTCACCCTGCCGTATAATCTCCTCTATCTACCCCTTCTGTCAATCCCCTCTACCCCCTCCTGTCACTCCCTTCTATCCTAACAGCGCCTACTATCTGTCCCTCCCTTCTTCCTTTCTTTTGTTACTATACTTTCTCTAATTCCTTTTCCTTTGTTCCCGCTCCCATTGCAAGGAACAGCTCTAGCTGACTTGCCCGGTACCCTGCAGATGAACAGGATAGTTAACACCACTGTGCGCAAGGTTTTTCACCCCCCTGCGCCAAGGCGCAGTGGGGTTTTCCTAGCTAGACATATGGTAGCAGAACCGCATATCCATTGGATGAAGGCGGAGTATAATAAATAATAATAATAATAATAAATTTGCATCACTTTCTCTCATTATTTAGAGCAATTTGAAAATTCTTATTCTCTATTAAAAAAATCTCTCTGTTCAGAGCAATATTCTCCTCAATGTGAAAAATTTTTTTAATATCAATTAAAAGTCAACAGTGATGTTGATTTGCTTGCTTTATCGGATCTTGTAAAGCTTATATAGATGTAGATGTACACTGTTGAAGCAGTTTCAGAGATGTAAACGAATGTGATTGAATCTTTTTGAAAATGTGAGCAGAATTTATAAGATGTATGTCAGTGATCATGAAAACAGATTTGATATTTTCTGCAGTTGTAGAGGTTTCTCACACAGCATGAAATAATCATCAAAAATCTCATTTTGTAGTTTGAATAAAGTCATAGTCAGAATGTGTATAGAAATCTAATTGATCTGAATATATTTTTATAAATGAGTCAAATATTTCAATATTTAGCAGCTGTAAACAGTGTATAGAGTGGGGAGAAAGAATAGCAAATAAAATTCAAGTTCAATTTATGTAATCAATGAATGTTATAACTATTTGTAGCGTACGCTGCTACGTAGGGGTCAAATTATAAGTATAAACACGTCTTCTTCTCTAAAAGATGGGAGATGGGCGTACGCCCCTATATATATACAGTGATTGTTAACAGAGATCAACTCTCATAGAAGGAGCGATCGCATACAAGGGGAAGGACAGAGGCTCTATAGAGAAGGTAGGAGTGGAAGCTCTCTGTAGGGAAGGTAGGAGCGGAAGCTCCGGGAAGCAGCAAGAGGTGGAGCGGAAGCCAGAGGTGGATAGGGGGCGTAAGTACGCCACACTATTTATATGAGATGAATGGCTATCTAATATAAGTAGATGATAATGATTTCTTACTTTTTACTTTATATGAAAACCAAATATCTGTTTCAATCAGATTAATTTATATTCATCATTATTTCATTCATTTTCTGAAGCAGTAAAATATGTCTGATGTTTTTTTAAAATCAAAATTTTCAAATCATATATCTTGCATATCTCTTGATTCTCTATAGTAAATAAATGCAGATAAAATTGTAATTTCATTTGTATAAATATCAATAAATAAAAAAATGAATTCTTTATTGTCATTCTGCACTGTTTCAATTATATACTTTTATTTGAGAGCTTTTATAGAAACAATTCATTTGAAAATATGAAGAAAGTTAAGAAGAAAGCCTTTTTCATTGAAATTGTAAATGTTCTGAAAGAGGATATTATACTGCTTGATCTTCTTTTACAATTATTCAATAAAAGTCAGTAAAAAGATTATGAAATTGCATGTGAAAAGAAGTAAAAAAACTGCAATTATAAGAATAAAAAATTGTTTAAAATAATAGCTATTATCTGCCTGCTTTCTTTTTTGATTCAGAGTGTGAAGATAGACACTCATGATTTTTACTTTATACCACTCATAAAAATGAGATATTCAGTTAATTTCTACTTGCATTTTGATAATCTCAAATATAAAATTGCACAGTATTTGAGGTGTCACACAGAAGCCATGATCAGATAACTGATTAATATGAAATAGAAGGTGTTGTTCTTCAGTATTTATGAGATTCTGACAATAGATTGATGTTGCCTCTGTTCTGAATATCTGTTGACCTTTGAACCGCTGCATCAAGGTAACACAATTGATTCCGAATTCCTTTGCAACCTCAGCATATTTAGGAATCAATTGTCGATTCAATTGAGTGATCGCTTGCTCTATACTCACTTTGTTGGGTGGCATGGTGGGTGGTTGAAGTTGAAGAGTTGCAGGGATTCATGGAAAAAATAGGAGTTCGTTGGGTGGTGGGTCACGTTAAGGTGTGTAGATCTCAGGGGCTGAAGCTGCTGAACAGAGTAAAAACGCCCCTATCTTTCGGTCGGATGATGAATTCTATTATTAGACGGGGATACTTCGAGGTAATCTACCCTGCTGCCACTCTCACAAGAATCATACACACTCGTAATGAAGAAATTGATGAGAGTGAAAAAGTGGAAACCGGAATAATAATCAGTAATCAATAGCGAAACCGAATAGCCCCCGCCATATGTTGGGTACAATACCCGTCATATCCCGTTAACTCGCTGCTGATATAAAATTGGCAGTTCTGTTATATACCCTTGCTCCTTCCTATAATGGGGTTGTAATTTATGTTTCCGCAACAGCATCTTCCCTATCCGCCGAATCTATCAGCCCGTCCAACGAACTCAAGATCGGCTCGGCTTCGATCATCATCAATCTCGCTCATTTCATGGCGCCGAACAGGCGAACCATTTTCAACCCTTCGCGGAAAATCAAGTCGCTCGGTCCCGGTCTTCTGTGGTCGGGTATTCTCTGATGTCCTTCGCTGCTCTATCTGGAATTCCATTCCCATATCCCGCCCCCGGTGGTGGCGGTGAGTGTTCTTCTTTCTCGGCCCTGTCGCCTCCTTTGCATGACTTCTATGAAAATGTAACAGCTCTTTTAAACTTTTCCTTGGCCTAGGCGTTTTATTGATTGGCTCCCTCTCAACAATGACATCAGGTGGAGTTATTTCACTTTCTTCCAAATCCGCAGGGCAGGTATCGTTAGCACCGTCGTCCACTGTGCCAGCATTGTCCATTGCGTTGCTATCAGCTGCTCCATTCCCGTCCGCCCTGATGAGCGCGTCCGCTATGTCAAAGCATAGCGAACTGGCTGGCGTTGGCACTTTGCGAAACTCTCGGCTCGCGCAGGCGTCATTTATGTTGATAGCGATAGCCGCAAGGGTGTCCAGTAGTCTATCGTCCGTCATATAATCGTCTGTGCAGATGCAGTTGAGGCTCTGCCAGCTACGCTCCGTAGCTGTCGGCATGCAGCCTGGGCAGACGCGCAGACGACAAGATGGGATAGTGACGTTTCCAAGCTCACCGTGGCAGGCTGGAAGCAATGTGCTAGAAGGTACTTTCACATAGGGATTTGCCGGCGTGGGCTCCGAGTCCTCTGGGTCTTGGGTGGATAAGCGCGATTGGGTTTCAGGGCTGAGAGGATCGCGTCTCGCGCGATAATCCGCTTTGATAGTCTCCAGAACAACTGCTCGCTGGGCTTTGACCAATTCCACCTGCTTGGGAGTGTAATGCCTGTGTTTGATGGCGTGCTCGATACTGGCGTTTAACTGCACCACATTGCTTGACTGGAGACTGGTGGAGAGATGCGTAAGGCCCAATTGTTGTGATTCTTGGTACGGGTATTTGTCTCTTGCATCCATCCTCGCCTGGTCCTCTGTGCAAGCATATACCCAACCAAGATCTGGTCCTCTCTTGCACATCTGACACGTTGCCAAACGGCCATGGCTGCTAAACTCACGCGTAAAGCTGGAGTGGGTGCAATGTGTTTGACGAGTATTCAGGGTTGTTGTTCTTCCTTGGGAGGAGGGTTTTGCAGGAGCTTGAGAACCCATATTTTCTTTTTTATTTTATTTAATTTTTTTTTTTTGCTTCAACTAAATCTAACTCGTCATGAAGCGGGTCGAGAGAGAATGTATCGAGCCCTGGAATTTAGAAACTTCAAATATTGCAAACGACAAAAGGGTGATGGAGTAGGCTGTTTTATTCAAATTGAATGAATGCGTTGCCCAGAGACCACGCCATATATCTATTTCCTTTCCGCCTGGCCTTTGGGCTTGTGAGAGCATTCAAGAGAGCGATGAGAGGTTGCAGGAGGGAAAAAAACAATAAATGAGCAGAGAGCTTTGTTCTTAAGGAGTGCTGGTACCCATGGGACACGAGTGCATGTACGGCAGCGGTTGGATTTGGGTGGTGCTGGTGAGGTGGGAGAGATATCGGTCCATCAGATCTTTTTCTCTCCCTCCAGGCTCCCTCATGGCGGGTGAGGCTCAACAACCGCAGGCGGCCTCTATTCTCTCTCCTGGTCGTTGTTGTACACAAACCCAACCACAACCATATCCCGAGAAACGAACAGCAATAAGCCAACAGGCTATCAACTTCGGTTGGGAAGGCAGTTCTACTACATTCATTCACACATGCGAAGATGGAAATGGGGGAACAAAGAGAGTAATAATAATCGAATATGTGTACGTTTCATAGTATTCAAAGAGACAAGGCGCGGCTTTTATTTGGTGGGCGGGGGAAGGGGTGCCAAAATTGGTATTGCATTGGCTAACCCTAAGTTCATGCGTAGTTAAAATAGCAAATGCAATCGAAGCTTTGTTCGAACACTCTCACTAATTCCGGGCATATGCAGATCCATAGTACTATACAAACCCATGGAGCGGAACTCGAGGGGGCGATTCCTTTGGAAAGGGCAGAGCATTAAAGAGACGGTATGATAAAGCGCGACATTGATAAAATAAGAATCATCTTCATCCCGCAACTGTGCAAAAATAAAAGGGGAAGCATCTTGGGTTTGAAACTTCGACTGTAGCGGGAATCTCGTTGCTTTTTCTATTAGCGGTATCCTGTGACGGATGAGGTTCCCAGACGCCCAAAGCCAAGCGAGATAAAGCCCAACATCTCGTTGAAACCTAGCAAGCTGTCTGCATGAGCTCAGGGTGGCGCGAAGATCACACGTGTTGTCGGAGAGAAGCTAGAAGGAAGCTTCTACGCGGAAAAATGCCCCCCAAGCAAAGACACCTAGCTGTGAGAAGCAAAATGAGGCGAGCTGGCTGGTGCTTATATTCGGCCCAGAATTTTGAGAAGCAATCCGTTGATGTTACTCTACGTGATCAAATGCATCAGCCTGAATCGGCTGGTAACTTTAATTGCAAACTAGACACCCGAGTTCCTGGCGTCTTCACCATTTCCTAGCGCTCTGAATCGATTCACCTGGATGAAATAGAAAGGCTTAAGTCTTACTTCTCTGTTAGGTACCTAAGTATTTCACTGAAGGGTATGAGATGGCCAAGGGTTCTTATAGCTTCCCTAAAGCTCTGATAGACTGGATAATGAAAGGTATCTTGCGGTTTCACTAATTCCTGCGCTGGTGTTCCTCGCCAACACACCCACACAAGCGCAATGACTCCGCTGTATATCAATTACTCATTAAACCAAGGGTCATCTAGAATTTGCCTCGCTGACGCTCTTGCAGCGGGCTCAAAATACAATTAACCTTCCCAAAGATTTGTCGCAGGCTCAAGATATCCTCTCTTGTGAGATGGGCGCTCTCAAGGTACACCTCTTCCAGCCATTCCTGCAAACTGGATCTGGTTTATTGGTCATATCACCTCCTGTGGCCACGTCGCCCGCTGGCGTTATCAACAAGGTGTCAAATGGATGTTGGCCTACGAAGAGCTCAAAGAGCTGTCGTCAGTTTACTGATATATATAGTCACGGTGTTAAGATTTGGAACGATTTTACCCACCATGCATCCCATGCTCCACAAGTCAACCCGACAGTCACTGCAATCCTGAAATACAACCTCAGGAGCTCGAACAGATAAGGGTGTGCGTAGTGTTTGAGGAATCATAGTGGGCAAAAAGGATTCTCCAAAGTCAGCTAATTTGATAGTGTGAGCTGAATTCCACAAATGTTTCTGATAGGGTTGGCTTCACAATATACGCAGGTATGACAGACTTCAGATCCTTTTCATCATTTCTTTGAATATAGCTCATCTCTGGTTCACCTAACATCTGTGTAAACGCCTTTTTGATTAAATTATTCATGTTGGACAAAATGAAAGCCATGTTGGGGGTATGGAGATCTATATCAGATGAGAATTGCTTGAGGTTCTCCATGAGAGTAATCTATCTCCATACCCAATATTCTGTTGATGCAAATTATTCAACCTTAGCAAACATTGCTTTGCAATTATCTTGACAAGCAACCCCTGGGAGTCTCCCACTTGGAAAGTGTGCATCAATTATGTCTGGAATATTGGGCGCAAGAGGTTCGTAAACCAGACATTGATGAGATCCATTGGGACCTGTTATGATAAAGTGATCCAGCATTTGTATGAAGTATTTCCAACAAGAGTTGTGGGATGACTTCTTCTTCATGATCTGAAGCTCTTTTGTACCCTCACCCTCATCTCCTTCAGCCACACAAATCTTTATGGCAACATAAAGTATCTTCCCTGCAAATGGGAGACCCTTCAGTTAGTTAGCTAGTACTTCATGAGCCATCAATTTGGTCCAACCTTTGATCTCTCGCCGCCCAAACGGCTGAGTAGCCGGCTCATTTTCATTTATGCAGCACCGTATACCTCCCTGCCATCAGCTATTCTCCCAAGGTGGCAGGGTTGTAGCCACCTGGTTGGTATCGATGGATTGGCCCCGCGTCCACGGTTGAAATGTATATTGGCTGGTTCATTTGACTCTTGTCTGCATAGGTGGACATGTGCTCGGAGACAATGCAAAGCTGTGAGATGAACCTCAAACGGGACCTTCTGTCGAGATATTATTATCCAGGCAATGGCCATTAGATTCAAAAGTGTTGTCTAGTTATTAACGCAAGGCAAAGAGATAATAGGGGGTTAACAAACCAACAGAGGACTAAAGTATCCAGAGAAGGGTGCATGGAACACGAGATGTTAGAATTGATAGTTTATGCTTTCGTCTCTCTGAGGAATTGATATGTTTCCAGGTGCCTTTTGCTTGTTTTTAGATCTCTATTCTGTTGGATCTTGCTACCTCACACATTAATTAATACTTAACATCACGATTTCAAGGACTATGCACACGATAGTTGGTAGATGGTCTCCCGGATTACTCCAGAACGCCGATGAGTCTAATTAAGGGTGTGAATACCGTGGATTATTGTTGTGCTTCATTTTTTTTTTTCTCAGGCTATATGCAGTCAGAGTCTGATAGCCTACACCTCACTAGTCTATTGTGGCGGACGTAAAGCTTGCGAAAACAGAATTTTCTGCCACCCCCTGAAAAATAGTAGCAAAACACCGCAGAAATAACCAAAATATCCACGTATCTCTAGAATCATTCAAATATCATCCAATTCATTCAAATACGCACCTTTATCATCAAATCTGCACCTTTATCATCAAATCTGCCAATATGCCCCGCAACACCCACCGTTCTACTGCCTCGCAAGCTCGTAAAAGGACTCCAACTACCCTGCGCCTTCGTCTGTCCAAACCGCCTGTTCCGGATGTTCCGGATAATGACGAGAATCCAACTGATGATGAGAAGGAGGATAAGGAGGAGGAGGAGGAGGAGGAGGAGGAGGAGGAGGAGGAGGAGGAGGAGGAGACACAGTCAGAAGATCCTCGATTTCTGCGAACACCTACCCCTGAGCCTGAGATCTCATTCAGCTGTATGAACGGGTGATTATCAATGGGATAAAGGAGCCTATAAAGATCAAGTTACGGAATGTCACAACAAATGATATGACTGTCAGCTTCTATCGTATCCAATATCTCCCTCAACTCCTTCTTCATCTAATATTGTGTCTCCAAGTGAGATAATCAATGTGATGGTGATGAAATATATGATGGAAGGAATGGGAGGCATGGGAGGACTGAATTCAAACTTGTCATCGAATTCAAACTTGCCATCAAATTCAAACTTGCCATCGAATCCGAACCTGCCATCGAATCCGAACCTGCCATCGAATCCGAACCTGCCATCGAATCCGAACCTGCCATTGAATCCGAACCTGCCATCGAATCCGAACCTGCCTCCTATTCGAAGTAGTCCAATCCCTCAGTTTGGTGAACACGCGGATCTGTTTATTGATGAGTTCTTCAACTGGTTGATGACAGAGAGACCTCGAAGAGCAGAAGCTCTTTTAACTGCAAAGAGCATTATTCAGAATGAAGGATTTGAACTGGATCATATACGGACAATGACAAATGAGCAGGTGGTTCAGTTGAATATTGGAATGGGTATATTCTCGATAATAAGAAATGGGTTAAAGAGTTCTATCTGGCAGTCACAGTTGAAGGAGATTAAATTGTCTTTATCTGCTGTTTGTAATGATGACAGCAGACTTCATACTGCTTCTGCTTCTGAATTTGAAACTTAGATATTATATATCATCATAATTGAATTGTAATCTGAATCTTTTTAAATTTTACAATACTATCCTATATGAGCCGATCTGAAATATCCTCTTGCATCTTCTTCTCCCATGAAATTCTCAACTGCATGATGCAAGAAGGCTTCAAAATCTCCATCAAACTGATTCTCTAACTGACATCTGTATCTTCTAATCCATTCTTTCAACGCGTGAAATGACTCCTCTATAGGATTATAATCAGGAGAATATGGAGGTAAGAATAAAAGTCCAATGCCAGCTTCTCTGCAGAGATCTCGCAGTGCTTGTGAACGATGAGAAGAGCAATTATCCATCACTAAGTAGTGATAACCTCGTTGGCATTTGGGCAGTATCCGGACACGTACAAACTCATTGAACCTCTCTGTATTATAGGACCCCTGATATATATCATAATCAAGATATCCATCGACACTTATTGCAGGTAAGATTGACCATCTGCGAGATCGTTTACAGGGCCTTCTAATGCGACAAGGGAATCCTCTGCTTGACCATCCATATCGTCGATCTGCAGTACGTTCATTCGCAGCACTCTCATCTAAAAAGATAAGTTGATCAGGTTGATACTGAGTAACTTGAATACGCCATTCAGCTCGAAGTTCTTCGTTGCGTTGACTGGCCACAGGTTCAACCTATATCAAATAGAACTGACAGATTAGCAGGTTCTATAAGTGACAATTGCAATAATTAATCACCTTCTTCCATGTCAAATTCAGTTTCTTCAACAATCTAGATATCGATCGAGGGTGGATATCAACATCAAATTCATCCTTCACAAAGCAGACAGCCTCATCGCGATATGCAGTTGGATATGCCTCAAAAAAGTCCTCCAAACCTGACAAGATATCCGGTGTGATCTTTGGCTTTACACCCCATGTTGAACGAGGACTTCTAGCAGTTCCAAAGCAGCGAATATTTCGTTGGATTCGATATACAGTGGCCAGACTGCACTCAATGGTCCGCGCAATCTGAGCAGGCATATAACCATCATTTAGAAGGCGTACGATCTCATTGGTGGTAAATTCGCTGAGCTGGGGGGGCATATTGGCAGATTTGATGATAAAGGTGCGTATTTGAATGAATTGGATGATATTTGAATGATTCTAGAGATACGTGGATATTTTGGTTATTTCTGCGGTGTTTTGCTACTATTTTTCAGGGGGTGGCAGAAAATTCTGTTTTCGCAAGCTTTACGTCCGCCACAATACCCTTATGTTCAGCTATCGAGTTACATTTCTCTACGGCGTACTCCGTACGGCGTATTCATAACCGAGTAATTGATGGAGGGCCTTGCCCCACAATTGCTCTTATGTCCGACATGTAAGGATCACAACATCGGAGGTTCCCACAATATTATCAACTTGGGTAAAGCTATGATCTCTTTGAGAGCCAGCCGTTCGCTTTGCCTCTGTCGATTTCCCGTGTTTCCTTGAGATTGCTAACCCCGGGGCATGCCAGGAGGACATGTTTTCCGGGCCGATTTTTCCGTCATAATACGCTGTAGTGGTTTGGCGTGATCCTAGGCTCGCCCAGGCTGACTAAGGGTTTTGCTGATGCCGACCTCGGCAAGGGAAACATCGTAAACAAAACACGCCGGCGACAACTCTCCAGCCTCCTCTGCGTCCTTAAGCCCACGACCTCAGCCGCAAGCTGCCCTTCAGTGCCCTCACCCTTCACATTCTTATTCTCGATTTCGCGTCTCCCTCCTTTCCCTCTCTGCTCCTTCAAATCATTTGAGCTTGCCCACGCCCAGCTAGACCTATCTCTCCATCATCTTCAGAACGAATAAAAAATGTCTGTTAAATTCGATAAGGTGGTCACTCATACGAGAGAGATTGTGAAAGATAAAGTGAAGGATGATTTGCACAGAGTGGGAAACAGGCTGACGGGAGGGAAGTCAACGACTGGATACCTGGCGGTATGTTGCGCTTTTTGGTCGCGAATTGAACAGCGACATTCCCAGACACGATGGTGGACTCTTAACAACTGACAATGCGACAACTACCTTTCTGCTATTATCTGCTACAGGCATACCTGCAGCAACTCCAATCCAATCCTCTGCGGACTAAGATGCTCACATCTGGAACCTTATTCGCGCTTCAAGAGTTCCTGGCTTCGTGGATCGCGCATGATCGCAGCAAGCATGGCCACTACCTAAACTCCAGAATACCCAAGATGGCGCTGTACGGCTCGTTCATCGGCGCTCCCCTAGGCCATGTCCTCATTAGCATCCTCCAAAGGCTGTTCTCCGGCCGCACCAGCTTGAAAGCTAAGATCTTGCAGATTCTCGTCAGCAACCTGATCGTACGTTCATAGACATCTTCACGACTCAAAACCGCTCTTCCTGCTTCATCTAACTAACCCCCTTTCGCCCTTCAATAGATCTCCCCGATCCAAAATTGCGTTTACCTCGCTTCTATGGCGATTATCGCTGGTGCGCGAACATTCCACCAAGTTAAGGCCACCGTGAAGGCTGGCTTCATGCCCGTCATGAAAGTCAGCTGGGTCACCTCTCCGCTATCCCTGGCATTTGCCCAGAAATTCCTTCCGCCACACACCTGGGTTCCATTCTTCAACATCATCGGTTTCGTCATCGGTACATATATCAATGCCCATACCAAGAAGAAGAGACTGGAGGCTTTGAGACGTAAGGTATGTTGATGGCACTGCACTATACATTCCATGAAATAGCACATCCTACATCTTCCCAATCATGCTTCTCGTGCTAACAATTTACCACTTCTGTTTTGCGTTTTGCCTTGCCCTCAGCATTATGGATCTGGGAAAAGTGCCTCGGGCCGGTCTGATGACTACCCACCAAGACATGATTGAATACCTGAATACGAGAACTGCGGCTGCAATAGCTATTCAAATAGGTCTCTTTATCTACATCTATTTGAGTTCTCGCCAATTATGCTTATTTCTTCGGTTTCTTCTCGACCGCGGATGTTGATGTGAATGAACCATATTTTGACAGGGAATGCGGATGGGTTTTCTTTTCTTTTTCTTTCCTTTCCCTTCCTTCCTTTCTTCTTGGAACAAATCAGCTTGGCCCCAGATACTTGAGAGCAGTTTCTTTTATCTTCCAGATAGAAGAAGAGGGAGAATGGAGAAGGCCCCTGGTACCCCTCTGAAACTTAATGAAATTATATATATACCACATGATTATTTTAGTGTGTACAGTCTCTACTCCATGCACTCACCTATGCTCGGGGGTTTTTTTTTTCTGTGCTGAATATTTGTCTAATCGTCTCAACCACCCCTTATTGTCACCGTTTCTATTATTTATTTTATTTTTGCCTTGTTGTCTCTCAGCTTTTGTTAGAAATATTGCTATATATCCTCTGATAAATTTTCATGAGATACTGTTGTGTTTTTTTGATGTTTGCAATGAACAGAGCGGCCCCCCATCGATAATGTGCATATAGCTGGATTTACAGATTTTTGGTAGGGAACCTAGTTGAAACTTGAGGTTTCTTAGAAACAATAGTAAAAATAGATAGTTATGGGTCATTGACAAATATTTGTGTTAAGCTTTTGGCGGATATAGCAAGCAGTGCCTAATAAGACCTGGCAGCGAGTTGATGGCGCGAAGCTAATCAATTCCGCTTCCCTTTCAACCTGAAATTCGAATGATCAGGGGCTAGCTAGCTAAGTCGCGACCATGCGAAAGCTTCACCCCCACCGGGTTCAAGTTTTGGGAAAAAAAAAAAAAAAAAAAAAAAAAAAATTGAGAAGCACGCTATAAGTCAATGAGATCCATATAGTTTATGTTTATCTAAAGAGTATGACAAAAACGACAACCCTCCCTACTCAAGCATCGATGCCTGATTAGTGTACAAAACATCCACGACATCCCCAAGCTTTTCCAACGTCTCCAGCGCAGCATCATACCCCTGATCCCTCTCCGCCTCATCGAAAACAATCAGACACCCAGCACCCTGATCCAGCACGCCGATAATCACCTTATCCAGGATCATCTGCGAAAGCTTCTTCTCCACCTGCTGCGTATCCAGCCCAACCATCTTGGCAATATGATCAATCTCCACCCGGCTAAAAGGCTCGATGACTTTGATCAGATTCTGCTCCAACATGGCATCGTAAAGGCGGCGGAGGTGGTTGCGGATGAAGACGTCGCTGCCTAGTTCAAATCGGTAGTCATTGAGCGCTTTCTCATACTCTTCCAGAGAGCGGTTGGAGTGCGCACGTGCGACGGCCTTCATGGCTTCAAGGTTTGTCCCGGCATATCGAATCGCTTGTTTGGAGGCGAGTAACGAGTTGACGTCGTGGACAGCGTTGAGCATTATTTTGCACAGGAGCATGTATTGGAGAGCCGACGTGGCTTTGCTGGTTTCGTCTTGCAAATGGTAACCTTCCAGCGCCTCGATGAAATAGGAGAAAGCGGTGGTGAAGTCTCTATCTTCCGCGTGGAGCATGCCGCTCTGCATGTCTAGACCTGCTTGTAGAAGTGGTGGTGTGTAGACCGATGCTGCTGATGTCCTGGCTGAGGTCAATGCGGCGCGGGCTTTTGGCTGGTTGCCCAGGGCGTGGTAAACGCGGGACTCCAGAAGCTGCACTTCCACGAGCACGAGTTTATCATCGAGCCGTTTGAGTTCGCGGAGAAGGGAGTTGATTAAGGTGAGAGCGTCGTAGTAAGAATGCTTTTGCATATATATAGTCACAAGGCGTGTCTCGAGATTCTGGCGGAGGAAGGACCGCCGTTCTGATACTGCCCATTCTATACACGACTTGATGACTTGTACCTGAATGTCAAGGGTGTTGGGAATAGCTGCGAAAAAGTCGAGGAGTTGTCGGACTAGAAATTATATGTGTAAACAGAGTGCAATCCACGCACACCGTAACCAGAATCTCCCCATCTCCCTCTCCCTCCCCTAGTCACCTGTAAATTACGTACCTAGTTTCGCCGATTTCGCTTTGGCGAAAGATGAGAAAGCTGATCGGCCAGTTTTAAGTAACTCTGCCAGCTCCGTTGGTTTGTTCTGGTCACGGTACAGCTCCCCCAGCCCCACGAGAGCAGTTTCGTAATCACGCAACGAAGCGTCGGTAGATCCCACGCCCTTCGATAGGATTTTCTGGTACAACGACTCTGCCTTGGCCGGATCTGTCTTGACGAGGGCCTTGGCTTCTACCAACAGGCCTGCGTCATTTGGGCCAGCAGCCATTCTGGAGGAAAATAGGTCGTGAACGGCTCACAAATACGAAGGATATACAGGGGGGATGCAGCCGTTGCACAGGCAGAGAAAGGGGGCCGAAATTGCAGAGGTTGTGGGGAGGTTGACTGGGTGCTGCGGAGTAGATGTCGCGATGTCGATGCTGGTTGAAGCTTAGGCTAACAGCTGGTGCATGTATCGGGCAATATATGGCGCTGCTTTAAAGCTCGTGTGATGATTATGTCATTCCTTCAGTCTTGTCGGTCCGACGTTGTTCCTGGGAGCTCAAAAAGATTTCCATTTCTCTCTCGATTGATGTCAAGAAAGTACCTACCTGGCTTGTAGCACATTATGGTAAGTAAGCAATTGAAGGGGACATTTTTTTTTTTTTTTTAGCTCATGCTAATTCCATGTCAGAAAATCAAATCTCTTTCCAGATCTGCTGCAACATTGCAGGAGCCAGGTTCGAATACCTCCAAGCTCCCTCGAAACCTTGATCCCGCACAACATCCTTTTGAGAGGGCGCGGGAATATACAAGGGCCCTCAATGCCACAAAGCTTGAGCGCATGTTTGCTGCACCTTTCGTGGCTCAGCTAGGCAATGGCCATGTCGATGGCGTATATTGTTTAGCAAAGGATCCAGTGTCGCTAGAACGGTTGGCCAGCGGAAGCGGTGATGGAGTTGTCAAGGTCTGGGACCTGGCTACACGGGATGAAATATGGCATGCTCCAGCACACGAAAATATCGTCAAGGGCATGTGCTGGACGTCAGATAGGAAACTGCTCTCATGCGCAGCTGACAAAACAATAAAACTATTCGACCCGTACGGCTCAGCGTCTGAGACCCCCCCGCTCGCAACGTATTTTGGACATTCGGCATTCACCGGTGTTTCTCATCATGAAAGCCACCCCTCATTTGCCGCATCTTCGTCCGTAATATCCGTGTACGATTTATCTCGACCGTCCTCCACTCCCTCTCAGACCCTCCACTGGCCTACGAGCACCGACACGATCACCTCCCTCGCTTTCAACCGGACAGAAACATCCATTCTCGGCTCCACAGCCACTGACCGGTCGATCGTATTGTATGATCTCCGCACGTCATCCCCAGTCACGAAAGTGATCCTCACGCTTGCATCAAATGCCATATCCTGGAACCCGATGGAAGCGTTCAATTTTGCCGTTGCAAATGAAGACCATAACATATATATATTTGATATGAGAAAATTGGACCGCGCACTGAACGTGCTGAAAGACCACGTTGCGGCTGTCATGGATGTCGAGTTTAGCCCGACGGGAGAAGGATTAGTTAGTGCTTCATACGACCGCACTGTACGATTATGGGACCCGAGTAAGGGGCATTCGAGGGATATATACCATACGAAACGGATGCAAAGGTGAGCTATATATGTAAGCAATAAGGTTGTCCCATCGACACTGACGTGTTGATGATAGAGTATTCTTCGCAAAATTTCACACTCAGATAACAAGTACATCCTCTCCGGGTCGGACGACGGCAAACATCCGTTCTCTGGCGCGCAGAAGGCATCTTTC